GCATCCATGTACTGCAAGCGTTCAAATACCATGGAGCCGTGATTTGCCAAAATGGTATCCTAGGCCACTATAAGCAATGGGACGGTGCTTTCGCTGCTACAATACGGTATTAAAAACTGAAAAGAAGAAACGTCTAAGTACACTGAATCCCAGTTAATAGCTTATCTAGCTGTTAACGTTCACTTCACAGTTGTACCTGTTTGACTACGTTTATTGAATCACGTTGTAAAAAGACCGAATTATACTCAGTTACAGAGGTAAAAATTTTAAAGAAAAAAGTGCCTAATATTAAATTATGGTTTGGACTGACTAAACTTAAACTCATAGTAATCATTTTCTAAAAATTAACCCTGCTAATTTACTGTAGTTTTTAGTCCACTATACTCGTATTGTTAAACCTTAGCTATCTCTTGGAATCCTGAGTATCAATGTTTACTGTCATGTGTCAGTTGAAAATTCACGCACCTAAACATACATTACACACCTGATCAAAAGTATAATATCACTGCAAACAAAAACAGTAGTCCTAGGAAGAGACCCAGGAACAAGGATGAAACTTTTGGACAATATGAAATAATGCAAAAATGCTAATAAAGATAACAACTCTGAAAAAGTGCGTCAACTTTTAACGGTCACCTCATAGTCTTAGTTCTAGAGAAAACAAAATCGGCCGAGATGCGGATATGTGAACCACAGGCTGGACGAATTCATTGGAGGTGCTTACCAGCGAACCGTAAGACATCGTTTGACCATCTACAAAGAATACAACTGTTCATGATTGGCAACAAAAATAGGGCACATTAAAGAATGCAAGTAGTAAAGTTTGAGCACGGCAAACGGAACTTTCAACAAATTAATTTGCACAGTCTATACACCACAACATTTACCGTTATCATCATTTAAGTTTGATTCAAAACGCTGAGGAAAATCAATTTAGCTGACTTCATACGCGTTCTCTAGTGCAGTTCTAACAAGATCTAGCACGAGAAAATCTACCTGGATGTTAAGTATAAGTATCAACCTTTTGGTACGATAAAGCATATCAACGACCATAATTAGAGAATAATTAATATAATTAATATGAATGCATATCGCTGGAAATATGAATTTAAGAGAAAAAAGAGCCAATCTTTTGTTCGCATCAAAGTATTCGAAACACCCTCAAACTATACTTGTCAAAACAAATATAAATAAGCAGGGTCCACAATTCCAGGTATTAAAATAATTAGGGTAATCAAAGAGCGAAACTTTTA